ATAATCCCAAACCACTATGTCCACACTTGCCCTTGGTGCGTTTAATGAATAACTGTAAAATGTTACAGGCAGCACAGTTTGCTGTTCAGCGCATCACAGAATCAGAACCGAGCTCGTGCTACACCAATAGCACGCTGAAACACTGCAGATTTCATTTCTGACTCGGGCTTATCAATCTCCTTTGCTGAGGAACATGTCGCAGTGGCTAGCTGCACTTCTAGTTCTCTAACAGGAAGTTTTCCACAGTATAGTCTGTGTGAAATAAAAAATGGAAGATACATACAGCACCTTTCCTGATTTTACTTGCCAAATCTACCACTTTAAAGGAAAAGGGTTGTAAGCCTCCTTCCTGCTGGAAACACAACATGTGCATGACTATCTGGAGTTACAACTCAATCTCGCTCGCTGATTTTCTTACAGCGCTTTTAACGATGGATGAAGGAAGAACATCATTACGATGCCTTTGGAATCATACAATTATTTTTAATTATATAAAGATCCTGTTGCTGTTTTCTGTGCTGATGTTTCCTTCCAAAGACATATCCTTTTACTCTGACAACTGACTCTAGGCAAAAAGCACTGCAGTCAGAGTGCTCCACAGTGCCATGTTGTATCTGCCTACCACTGAGAAGCTACAGCTTGGTTGCCACAGGAGCCCTTTATTGCTGACTTTCTTCCTTTCCTCTTAGGAAACATCTCTCAGAAAAGAATCTCCTGAACTCGTACATGACACTCTTGAAACTTACTTATTTTTGCCATGTGGCTCTCGTGAATTCTTCAAAATAAATAAAAATGAAAATTTCACAGCAGTTGTAATAACTGTCAGACAAATGATATGCAGCTTATAAGTAAAAGCTTATTTTCTCTACTATTAACAATTGACTGCTACCTGAAGATTGAAAAATTCAAGCAAAACTCAGGAATTTCCAAAAAATCTTTTCATTTTTGCATACACTTATCAGACTTTATGGACAGTTTTAACTTTAAACACAAAATTCTGGAGGTTTACGTTGACCAGACAGTAAGAAAGGGAGTTAATCAAATATGAATCTTCTCCAACTGTCTTGTCAAACCAGGTAATGATGTCCTGCCAGCCAAACTCAGAGGGAACATGTGAAACAAATACAAAAGTAAACAGGCCTTAAGCTGCCCAAGGGAAAGTCAGCAAGATGGCAATTTCAATCATTTGGAATAATACTAAAGCAGCCTTAGGCTTTTCTCAGAATGGAAACATGTCACTGTTACTGCAATATTTCAACGAATCAGAAGGCAAAAGAAAGGAACACTTATGTAATCACAGCCGTGGAACAGCACTTTAACTCAACGTTTAGGAGGAAAATAATTAAGAGGAAATTCCCTTTTTGTGAGCGATTGTACCTAAATAACAAAGACAGGCAACGTTTCCTCAGACATTCCAGGAGTGAAAAAATCAGAGACAGATCCCTTTGGTTTTGATACAGGAGGCTCGGGCACAACAGTGAAAAAAACTCTACCAAAGGAAAGGGTGAGAATAATGCTTCTACAAAATGTATCCAGCGTTGATAAAAGTTACACTCTGAGCAACAACAACAGCAAAAAGCAAAAAAAAACTTAAGGAACAATTCTGCCGAAAAGTTTCGTCAAGATGAATGCGTTGTCATATCATTTAACTGAGAAATCAAAAAATATTTCAAATATTTGGGGAACTTACCTAATCAGTAAACTTTCAGTATGTGTCTAGTCATGTAGCCATCTTTTAGTCAATCATCAGAAAATCAAAGGCAAATTGGCATGACTCAACCCAAACTTTAATACCGCATGATTGTGTCGTGTAAGCTTGTTTTGTGCGAGGGCTGCTGTGGTTTTAGCAGAGAGATTAACGACCGGACCTAAGCTGGCCTCCAAACCTTGCCCTGCTGATGCCTCAAGCCCTTTGAAGTCTGACCATCATACCTGGCAAAACAACAGTGGGAACTAGGCTGGTGTCAGATCTAATCAAGTTTCCTGCCTCAGCATAGCTAACTATGGGGTACACTAATTGGCCCAATTGCGGATTATACCTTTTGCTACAGATTCAAGACAATAATTTAGTCAAATGATGGTTTTTATCTCCTTCTAATTAAGATTCCAAAGTGGGAAGAAATAGGATTAGACAGGCTAACTTCAAAATTGTGTCCTTTAAAGAGGCATGCACATAAGATTGGTCGCTGATAATATTGCATATACTAATATATAGCTATTAACTAACACGAAGATTTGGGAAAACCGGGTGCAGCTACTGCACCTTTTACCATAAGGGTTGAAGTGCACCTGGGAAAGGTCTACCTCATAAACTGAAAATGAGCGCTCATAACTACCCACCAAAAAGCATTGCCATCCATCAGGTGAAAAAATCCCCACCCTTTACAATACGCTTCAATCAATCTGATTGTGAGGAAGACGCAAGAAAAAAGATTGCAACAGTTAAATGATTCTGCAGGCTATCATGAGGTAGAGTCCCTCCCACAGAAAGGAAGTCTAATAAAACAGACCTGACGTTTAAAGTTTGTTACCGTTGAGGGCCAAACTGGTGATGCAGACATGAGAAAATCCATGCCCCGTGCCCTCATTATAAACCATAAAATAAGAAAGTTCTATTGACAAAAACTTGTTGGAAAAATTTTTGCTATTAGTCAGAAGTCATGTATTTCGAACTTTTCTTAAGCAATTTCATCTGAGAGAAGCATCTGAAGGAGGCCAGTATTATAACCTAAATTGGGTACGTAACTAAGCCGTCGCTTTCCAAAAACTGCTACGTACTCAAAATATATTTCAAACTTGCTTTTGAGCTACAAAAGAAGTCCTAAACTTGGATGCGCTTTATATAAACCATGCTCGTGCGTGTAATGCAGGCTGTTGTGCAGCTTCATGCTTCTACACCAGAACAAAACTGACTGCTGACTCATCACATTCTAACTGCAGAACCCAGTTTTAGAAGACTGTATTCAATCCCTTCTTAATTCAATTTTCCCTTGCTCCCATTTTCCTATGGACTCATTGCTCCACTCAGCCTCACTGCAGTCTGCCTCTCCCAGTATAAGGAAGAAAAACTTTTGGAGTAATGAAATGTGGGCAGGATCTTACGAGTTCAAAAAGGACCAGTTTGAGTCAGTTTAACTTCTGGAAAGCATATCTCCAACAAAAACTGAAAAGGGCTGCAGCTGAGCAATGAAGAGAGAAATTACCCCAGTGGGTCATGGACACGTCTGGGGCAACAGGTTGTTCCGAGAGTTCCACTGCAGCCGTTCCCAGCAGCTCCGTCCCATGGCTAATTACATTCCTTTTACAGAGCCCCCTGTTTAGTTCCCCTCCACACTTTCCCCCTTTCAAGTTACATTATGAATTAGAATCACACACAGAAAAGATATATTCTTAGTCAGGATTCAAAGGGGAAAGAATCACAATTTTCTAATTTATAGCCCTACTAACTGTGATTTTCCTGCGCTGCCTAATGACACTGTGTGCTTCTTTGGGCTTCTAAAAGCAGTAAAAACATTTGTATTTTAAAACCAGCTGCAGACTACTAAAGTTTCTGCCTGCAATGTCCTGCTCCAAGCATTTGCTAAAATGGCTTAATGCCTCACAACGCCTGGTTGCATTAACTGCATTCGCTGGAAAATGAGAAACGTTACAAATGAACGTCTTTGGGGAAAATAGCCCTCCTTCATGTATTTGCCTCTAAGTGGCTTTTGAAGAGGATACCTCTACTTGGGAAACTTCTGGCACGCATGCAGAGATGACCTGCTTGAAGAAGTGGCTGCCTGATTAACTATTAACTGCTCTCAATAGGATTAGATAATTAAAGACATTGATGACCATTAATTAGGAGGAGGGCACCTTAATTTGTCACTTGATAGGGCCCTTTCAATGATTTATAGGTTAGGGCTACTTGCAATTGTGAAGGGGAGGGGGCAGTGAAGAGAGGGAACCCTCAAGTTACCTTATCAAGTGGCCAGCTAAAAAGGGCAGAGGGTCAAATAAGGGCCAAAGTGGTCACTTAAGGGTGAAGTCCCAAACACCAAAGCAGTGCCAAGCCACATTGACCATCATTTGGTGATGGAGTAAAAAATATGCTAATTTATTGGTGGCAATTCTCTCTTTTTATGGTTTCAAGCAGTTAAGACAAGTGGCCTGCTTAAGAGCTTTTCATTTGAAAAGAGATTAAACAAAATGGTTTGTCAGGGATGCTTGGCTGTTTTATGTCTTTGTTAAAAAAAAATTTGCCCAGACTGTACCGATGACTATCACATCACCCCAAAAGCCATCTCCCATCTCTAAGCATTACTTGGTTAATAAATACATCAGCTCTAATTGCTTAATAGCGCTGTGTTCATTTGCTCTTTAGCAAGATTAAAATGAAATACATCTTTTGTATTACTGCCTTCTATCAGGACTGTCTGCATAAAGGTCACGGAAAAAAGTTTAAATTTAGTAGGAAATTTACTTAAGGACATTAGTGTAAATGATACTGTGTTTAAAATGACATAAAAGAGCGAAAGGTGATTTCAGTAATGCAAAGAAAATGGTTTCTGAATACTGATAAGGACACTTATCCCTCATACCACACACAATTTTAGGCAGCATTATACATTAAAATCCCTCTACCGGGGTAATAACATGTAGCTACTTTCCCACCCACTAACAGAAGTAAGAGCAAGTCATTAACATTTAATTAAATATGCTCCTGACATCCTTAGAAACATGTCACGCTTTGTTATTGAAGGTTGTGGCCTACTTTCTATGTACATTTTAAACCAAAATAAACTATTTATAACAGACCGATTTAGTGTGGCAAACGAGACGTCTTTAATTAGAAGGCATACGGCAGCGTTCTGTAAAACCGTTCGGAAAAGCAAAAACGTAACGAAAAGAATCTACAGCGTCCGATGCATATTTCATGCATTTCACAAAACGAAACATAAGAGACGGGATTAGCTCCACCTTTTGGGTTCTAAATAGTGAAACAAAACCGCTTCTCTTACCTCAACGGTGAACTGCTTCCTTTTTAATCTAAAAGCAAGGTCCTTCGTGTCTGACACATCACAGATCAAGCTATTAAGCCGAGGAATCTGATGCACATGAAGCAAACCTTGTGGAAAGAAAAAGTAAAGGAGGGGAAAAAAATAAGAAAACGCTGTCATCCAGATGCATAAATTAGAGAGTCTTACAGCAGAATCCTGTATATTTACACACACTCATCCTCCCCTTTTTAAACTGGAGCTTACTACCAGGAGCAATGAAGCAAACGGTGCGATTATACTCAAGTAATCAAGCAGAATAAGATAAACAGAAATCCTTGTGCGAGGAAAACTAATTGCACTTTGGTACAGAAGTACAGATGTAAAGAGGGATCTTAATACTTGTCAAAACTACAGCCGGTTTGTGTGTGATTTTCTCTTGTATTTACAGTAAGCAAATATGGCTATCACCTTGCATGCTGCCCACGGCACCACTGAGTGATCTTTATTTTATTAAATGCACCAGTAAGCAGCCAGCAAAACAAGGCTTATGGGTTACAGATAACCACGGAGGCTCTAATGAGCGGTGCTGCGCCCTCAAGAAGGCTGAGGAAAAGTTTCTGCAAAACACCGATGTCGAGCAGCCTGTGCATGAATTTTAACCCCTCCGCCATCCGCACAGAAAGCCATTTTCCGTGCACAAGAGGCTGAGCTGGCCGCTCAGATGTTTGCACCAGTGCTAGGTACACTGCAAGCTCTGCATTCTGTCACTCGCAGCTCAAGCTGATGTTTTCTGACAAGGACGCTGGATGGTTTTTGTGCAGCCTAATATAGTTTCTGAACTACCTAAGGGTGATTTTCTACATCTGAAAACCAGGAAAATTCTACAGGGCTTCTCGATTACTGGCCTATATTTGCTATTCATAAAGCCAGTGTCAAAATGGAAATACTCAACATTTACAAAAGGCATCTCGCCTGAAAACGGCAGCTGTGAGAGAGAAAACCCCAAACATTAAAGCCCTTATTTAAAGGAAGGCAAGTATTTTTCAGGGTCTTATTTCATTTTTAAAGGGAGAATAGGGAAAGAAAGCTCCTAAAATTGAAATACTGTAAAAAGACAAATGCTTACAAGGTACTAAAATCAAAGTCCTCCATGTTGTTACAAAAATATTTTGTAATAATTGGCTTCCGAATATTTAAGCCTTCCACCTCTGCCTCCAATCTGATAGCATAAAAAAATGTTCCTTCCAGTTTTGAGTTCAGAGTACAACCATTATGTGCAGGAGCAGCAGGCATAACAAAGGGTTGTTTTTACGTCTTATTTTTAACGTTTAATTACAGCCAATTTATATCATTGTTTATTTTACCGACTCCTCAACCCGCTGCATTTACAGACACCTTAACAAGATTACTAGTGCAGAATTCGCTAAATAATGCAAGAATTTAAACAAACTTTTCCTGACTAATGACAAAAACTCCCATCATTTGCAGTAAATAAATCATCCTAAAACATGAGCGTAGATGAAAATAACCCACACGGTTAAAATCATTACAAATATCCATTACTAGACTGTTGAGGCTGCCTAACTCACAAAAGCTGTGCACTGGTATATAATTCTATTAAGAAGCACCAAAAATGATTTTTTTTTAAAGCTTTTACAGGAGAATAGGAAATAACTGCTAAAAAGCACACTGTCTTAAAAAGATCTCCTGACTGCTGAGAAAAGCAGTATCAAACTGACAGAATTATGTTAGCATAAACAAATGCCACATCACGATTATACAACGGGGAAAATAATTAGGCAAATTATTCCAGCTTTTCTTTAGAATTTCTTTTTCATCCACCTTTTTCAGACGAAGAAATACGCACTATTTTCTTCGTCAAAACATTTCCCCCTCATTTATTACTCAAAGCCTGCATACACACTGTGGTATCTCAACACCATTCTTGCTGCTTTTTCTCTACATTCTGCTGTGCACTGCCACGCTCTCACATGTTTACAGCCAGTTTTGGTAAGCAGTTTACTTTCAGCAGAAGGTTTCCATGGAACTACAGTAGTATCACAATAATAATAGCTGTAATTTATGCACGCTCCGAGCGCTGCTCTGGATTAGCTGTAACTGTTTGTTATTCACTGCTTGGGCTATGCATGACTTCTAATCTAATCTTCTAAAATTTAAATAGTTCTGCTGAAACAGCTTACAGAATCTTTGGGAAAAAAAAAAAAATACAGGATTAAACGCCATTACACATTTTGAAGATAAATCACTTGAAAGGCTACATGCCTTTTTGCTAAGATTAGTTTCACATTTTACATGCCACATACATCCACATTCATTTCTGTAAATGCATAGCTGCTCTAACTGAAAGCTGCAAAACAGCACGTTATTTTTAGAGAAACTTTATATATAATCACATCGTTCAGCAGATTATTCCCTTTAATATAATATATGTTTTTCCATGTTCTCTACTTAAAACTCGTCAGATCAGAAGTATTGATTTCATGACAAGTTCAGCTCACTGGTCAGATGATTGCCAAGCCTCCTCTGCATGTGAATTCCCCAAAGCCTGCCTGTTGAGATGTACATCTGATTGAGCCATGCCTCAGTAATACGGCTTGACAACATGCAAGGAGTTGCCATGTTTCCTTTGCAGCCTTAATGCACTTTACGGAAAATTTTCCTAACTCAAGACTGGTTAGCAAGGAGGAACATTTAAGAGGTATATTCTAAAATGAAATCAAATTCTGCTTTAGAGCAGATACCCAATTGGAGGGCAAAGCCGCTAAGTGCCCTAGAAACACTCAGGGCAGACTTTTCGCATTGCTAAAGATGGAACTTACCGTGGTAATCCTTGTATAATGGATTGGTTTCTCTCTCAGAGCCAATAAATGATTCAAGACCAACTACCATATCTGACAAGTTTGTTACACGTTCCATAATTGCTTTATTCTGTAAGACATGGAAACAAAATACACATCGTATGTGATGAAAAAAGTAATTAATGTTCATGGAGTAAGCCTTGGTCTTCTCAATGACAAACGGTAGGAAAAAGTAGGTCATCGATACCTAGAAATTAGATGGCAGGCTATTCTATTCGCTTAAAATAGATGGAAATTTGTGCCTAAAGAGAAATATATTTGGCTTGAAGAAAATATTAGAGAGCCAACAGCACTAAATTCATATTTTCGCAATCTTTCTAAGATAAGTGTTAGTTAACATTGCAGATATTTACAAGCTATGTGGCAGCGAAGCATCAAGTTGCATTACCCCTTCTCAACATATTTGAGATTTATGAGGGCTTCGGTGATGTCACAATTTAATAAAGAAAAGGAAAAAAGGGACAAAACTGTGCTAAAAAACAGAACAGTCCTTCACGTAAAGAAACAGTAATCTCAAAACTGCCAGGACAGCTGGCACAGTCTTCTTCTCGATGGCTGTCGTTGCTGCGCCCATCACAGCAATGGGGGTATCAAGTGTAATCGCCTCACGATGCACCCATGCCAACTAGAAAGAACCAGCTCTGTAGCTCCACGTTAGGATTTTGTATTTTTTATTAATCTTACTTAAATACTTTTGTACATTCTGAGCTTCTGTTGGCAAACTACGTGACTGACACTTAGTACAAAATGTGAATTTAAACATTTTTTTCAATTTTAAATAAAAAATTGCACAGCAATTGCTACCATAAAGAAAGGGGAGATGCTAGATATGTCTTTACAATATGTGCAGTACACCGACATGCTTGCTTATTAAAATAGTGAGCACTGCATCAATTGCTTTCAACAACAGAGCCACAGAGAAGCCTATGAGGCAGATGCAGAAGGTGACCATTTCCTACTCCTGCCAAAGAGGTGAATGCTGTAACCATGGCCTGCCCTGCACAGACCAATCTGCTCGGGGTACAAGGCCCAAAGCCGCCAGTCCCCTGGTACCTCCATACCCCCTCCCTTCCCCACCTTATGGGCCAGATGGCATTAAATCCTCTGGACTGGTCTCTTTACAAAGCTGCTACTTGTGCTCAGGCCAAAATGGTCTATCCCCATGGAATCAGAGGACTTCAGTTTTACCTGCAGAGTCTAACAACATGTAAAGATAAAATAATATAATACTACAGAATTCCCTTTCTGAGCAATGATGCAAGTGAACTGAGGTAAAAGAATGTTGCTTCCAGATCAAGCCTTACACTTCATTATTGCATGCCCTAATTATATCCACCTCTGAAATATTAAAGATGACTTGCAAATTAGTTCCTCTTCTAGGAAGGGAGAGACAGCATATCGTGTTCTAATGGAAACTCTTAGTCACATTGTTTTATAGGGTCAGTCACTTAAGGACAACATAAATCTGAAGTAGCCAGTGACCTCTGTAAATCCACAGACTTGAAATTACCTTATTTTGTCAATTCTTCAGCAGGTTGCTGGGTGTTATTTGTGTAAGTAAGAAACATTACACTGTAATACAGGTTAACAGGGAAATAGTGGTGATTTCTGGAAGCTAACCTGAATTCTTAGTATAAGAAAAAAAAAAAATTAGACCGTTTGTAAAAAAGTTTGCTGTTAATTAGTCTTTTTGCTTGCTGGTTTTAACCAACAAGGGTTACAAAAACTGTAGGTAGAAAGATGCTCAACCATCAGCTAGACATCCTCATCATTACAAGTGCTGTAAATCCTAAGAATAGCATCTTTCCTATTTAGTCCTAGATTGGAAATATTAAAGCAATTCAATATTTACCTAGTGATATACATACTTCAGCTTGTTGGTTTCAGCTCTTCTTCTGAATAGTTTGCTTTCTTTAATAGTAATCCGTTCGCCTATGTTGATTTTGTTGTTATTTTTAAAGTGTGTCAAAATATTCTCTGGGCTTAATGCAGTGTATCTTGGGAAATATTTTCCACAATGAATTGCCACAACAAATAGACATTTGCTTATGTGGCATTGTTGTCATAGATCTGTATCTATCGTGTATTTTCTAGTTTGCAGTGTTCAGCACATTAATGCCCAATCAAAGCTGACGTCAGCACACAGATAGTTGTGATGTATGGCATACTGACATAAACACACAAATCATGTTGCCCCATCTGGGCTTGAAAATTTAACAGAGCTCCAGATCTTCCTCCAGCCCCATACAAATCTACCTCCTGCTTCTGGCAGAAACTTGGCAGCTCTGGAGATGAGCCAGGACATGGTTAGGAGGGAAGCCAGGAATGGGGGGGATTCAAGGAAAGAGTTTGTTGGCAACTAGAAGAGGTATTGTTGTAAATTACATTGAGAAATAAATAAATTAAAGAAAACCAACCGACTCAGTCCTGGAAAGTTTGCAGCCTTGCAAGATGCACTGCAGGTTTTCTAAATTAGTTAGTTCAGCCAAAATATAATTATTCTAACAATATGGTAGCAACCCTGATGTGCAGACTGGGCTGGGCATTCATTCTATATCTTACTTAGTGTTCACTGTTTTAGACAGGAATTTTCTTTTTAGCTCAGACTTGTAATATTTGAGCTCAAATGAAGTGCACTTTCAAAACACTGTTGGAAGAAAATCCATTTAGCTACTTAGATATGTAAATGGCAACTGTACATACATGTTTAACCAGCTTTTAGGGAAAGGCAATTATGGAAAAAGATTGTTTTGTCCTACTAATTTATTTGCAGAATCTACAGAGCTTTGAGCAATTATCTGTGCATGTTTAGAAACACTTATTTGCAAATAAAGCAGTGTACCATCTTCCACATCTGAGGACAAAGCATGGTGTTCTACCAATGCAAACAGACAGAGAGATTGAATACTCAAACTTACACACTGAAATTAAAACTACATATTTTTACTGGATTGAGTTCTTAATGAAGGACAATTTTATCATAACTATTATTTATCAAATCAACTTTGGTTCATCTGAATTCCACGTTAGAAAAAAAAAAAAAGGGTGCTTTTTCTGCTTTGCTCTAATTCCTACTTCTCCTCTCACTTCCTGGCAAAAATTGTCTAAAACACAGAGATATGTACTCCTGTTTTTATTTTGTTAGATTGCAAAGAAATTAAAAACCTCATAAAATTTATGTAAAAGGAGTATTTAAATTCTCAGTAAACAAATTCAAATAATTGAAAATTTTCCCAGAACAGGTTTAACTTTCCTACGTGGAAAATACAAAAAAATCTCCAAATTTAAAAGGAAAATAAAAACGTTTCAGATCTACAATGAAATCCAAGTAGCACCTGTTAAAACTCCCCAGTCACATGGATTTCGTATATCAGCATTTGTGTACTCATCAATATGTTAACAGACTTATAAGATTGATTTATACATCAATCTGAAAATGAGGTGCATGAAGACTGTTTTCAAAGAGATATTTTTGCCTATGTTTTCATAGTGAAGGCTATATTTGACTTCTGTACCCTTAACTAATTTTGATTAATTAATGTATTCACTGTTTTTATTTAAAAACATTTGTTTTTAAGTTAATACACCGAATCCTAAAATTGAGAGTCCAGTAATCTTGATGCTTTGTTTGAAAGGTCTCAAAAATAAAGATCGAGTGAGCAAGTTTATGTACAGTGATTTCATCCTTGTGAACATAAAGCAAATTTTGGCATTCAGGTTTTCAAAACAGACCCAAGAACTGGCTGCCCCCTTTTTGTCTCTGCTGCACTCACTCATGACACTGAAGTAGCTTAGTGCTATAATATACGCAACCACATTGGACGGCAATGAAATACTGGCTGGATATTCAATAGGTGTAATCATTCTTCATATTTTCTGAGACATTACCATACAATAAAGTGGTAATGGCTTCACGACACACAAATATTTACCACTTGTCATTACTACTTAATCTCCACAGGATTTGGAATTGAAAAGATAAATTATTAACATTAAGAGGCATGGCTTAAATATTTAACCATTTGTTCATAATTACTACTGCTAAAATCACAGAATTATCCATACCTTTTATCTTGGTAAAAAAAAAAATAAAAATAAAGTGAGGTATTAGGCCACTGCACTAGTTTTACAGAGATACATTTGGTGTGCTTTTTCATTATTCACCAATCCTGAAAATAAATGATTAATAAATGCTCTGCCAGAACTGTTATACTGGTAATTAACAAAATCTGTAAAGTCAAAATTTGTGTACTTACTCTAATTCCAAGTCGATTAGCACTTTTTTTCTGTGCTTTCACACACCAGCTGAACTTTGAATTTAGGTTTTACATAAAACTGATGCTCACTCAGACCACTGAATACAAGATGAACAACAGTAGTTACATTAAGAAATTTTGGTACTTAGAAAACTGTATCGATATCACGTGAAAACCAAATCGAAGTGTGATGTCTTTGATGGAAGACAAGCTCACTTTGCTTGAAATATATCTAAAGGATTTTCTACAGACTTCCAACACCTTCACAGAGGATATGTCCACATTTAAATATTCTGCATCTTCTTCTACCTTTGAAGAATTTTACTGACTGTAACAGAACACGCATAAATATGTGTTCAGATGGATGAAATCATAGAAGCATTGATTTTGGTCAGTTCATTGATAGGTACTACATTGAATTAGAAATTTTCATGCAATGAATAGTATCTTTGAAGACTTTTATACAAGTTACAGTAGCAAAGAAAGGAAATGTAGCAAAGATACAAGCAGGTAATTAGATGCAACATACAAAAATGGGAAGGAAGTGACAAAGCATCTGTTGGCCAATATGTTACATGATGTATTAATTCCAGGTTTTGGTTTTTTTTAATGTTTGCACTGGTAGTTCGCAAAAGCTCAGAGTCTTCCAACTGTGAAACAAGTTAGAACTAGCATTTTTTTTACACTGAAAACTCAAAATTTAATTTGAGCCATGGTTACCTTCTCATACACCTGAAACACCATCACTCTTATGGGAACTCTGCAATGATTATTATCAATTATATCAGATGCAGGTGGATGACAAGGTGTCCCA